AACAACAACAACAACAACAACAACAACAACAACAACAACAACAGTGGCATACATGGAATCCTGGTGTGGCACTGTGGGCTAATGAGTCAGAGTGCAAAGTCATTTGAACCGCAAGGTCAGTAGTTCAAGCTCACCAGCTGCTCCTTGGAAATACTATACAGGGTTGCTATGGGTTGGAATCAACTCGCTGCCGCTTAACAAGGAAAGGAAATAATGTTAAGATGCTTAACTGTTTAGTGGATATTGAGATCCCTCCCCTACTAGAGTAATATAGACATCTGCATCAGATAGAAGGGATAGCTAGGGAAGATGATTACAGAAAGCTTGTAAGCCTGTCTTCAGCCTATAATGGATTGGATTATCTAAAATAGGTCTAGATTGTACACAGGAAAACAAGTTTCTTTTTAAGCCTTGGTGGAGTATGGGGCCTTAGGTGGAATCCTGAGTCCCACCCAGAACCTTCAGGGGTGGGACATTCCTAATTGAAAAAACATGCAACCAACCTGGAACAACTAGAGGAATAGAAGATACTTCTTGAAAGAAAGACCAATGGGGTAGTGGAGAGTGGGGTGGGTGCTGTTGGGATGGGAGTGGAAGGAGAAAAGGTAAAAAAAAAAAAAGCAGACTTTTCAGCTGTGACATTATTAAAGCAAGCTGTTTGCCCTGGAGCTATCAAGGCAAGGAAAGCCAACCTATCAGGGAAAACTTCTGTCTAAGACTGAAACTCAAAGGGAACACATGAATGGTCCTGTGCGCTTGATGGCAACCGTCTTGGTCAACTTATGTGAACATGGAGTGGGGAGGGTAATACATCTGCATGAACAAGGAAGATAGGGGAAGACTTTGTGGTGTATGGGGTCTTAGGTGGTATTATGAGCCCCGCCTACAATCTTCTGAGGTGTGACAACCCACTTGAAAGTACAAGCAGACCAACCTGGAGGAACAGAAGATATTTCCTGAAAGAAGGACCAGCAGGAAAAAAATTTTTTAAAGCAGATTGTTTGGCTGTTACAAGATTAAGTAAGCTCTTTGCCTTGGAGCCATCAAGGCAAGAAAAGTCTGTCCATCAGGGTAAACCCCTTTCTAAGACTGAAGCTGAAAGGGTGGTGACCACCCTCGTCTACTTGTGGGTGGAAGTGGGGGAAATGCAACAATGAATACATGGGCTGAGTTTGGTCATGTTCCATAGACACCTGTCAACCTTGAGAGAGTGAAGAGGAAGGGCTGGCTGGTCTGAACTTTAGTGAGAATTGTGAACTCCAGCCCATGGTCACTGATCTAGCCACTGGAGGCTAGAATTGAATGTGAAGTAGACAGCTTTTAAGGGACTTGGGAAGGTGTGTGAGAGCTCCTAAACTTGCAGGTAGTACCTATTTGACCTAGCTTGGATGGCTTGCTGATCAGAACTCGACCAGATGAAGATAAAGAAGTTTGATACAGGAAACAAGTGCAAATTGCTACAATTTAGTGAACTGGACCTTCGCTTATGAATGTAGTTGCTCAAAATTCCAACGGAAAGGGAAGGATTCTTCATATCAGGGATCAAGCTTGCCCCTTCAGTACACTGGGTTGATAGAGACAACCAGTGGGCAATGTAGACATTGGCCACCAAAAATGAGGGGCTATAGAGGCACAAAGTGGCTGGCTTACAAGCTTTCATGAGTGTGTTTAGTTTCAGAAGGAGGAGGATAATGTAGAATTCCCCACTAAATAATTTTCTTCTTGTCCAGATGGGTCTGGTAAAAGAGGATGGAGATAGGATTGTTTGATTCAATAGTGAGTAATTATTATCATGACTGATTGCAGTTGTCACAACTGTAAATGTAGAAGATATGAAACTAAAAGTGGGAGGTAGTTAATCTTTCATTCCAAGAACAGAGGACTCTAGGACCACCAAGAGGGAAGCAGATGAGTGGAATGTGGGATTCTAACCAGAAAAGTGGCTATAGCAGACAAGGAGGAAAAGGCAATGGCATAGAGAGAGCAGTCCAGGACTGTAGGCCCATGGAATGAGAAAGGCTGTGTGCATGCAGGCATGAGGCTGACTTGCAAAATGTGCCCTTTGGACATTTAAATGGATATATGTTTTCTGAGTGTTTTGTGTACATAAAAAAAAGGGAATAGAGGTTAAATACTGCTAGCTGATGGTGCATGGAGGGGATTGTAATCATTGAAGTGAAATGAATTATGATTTGTTGAGTGTAAAACTGATGATTTGCCCTATAAACTATCACTCAATTTGCAATAAATCTTAAAAAAATTAGCATAGAATTTTAGCTCTGTGGCTATATAGGTATATTTAAGCTGTGTTTTTTAAAAAATGTTTTTGTTGTCATAACAGGGATATTTTATTTAAAAAATAAATTTTTGCTGAAACATTGCAATAAAAAAAAGAAATTAAATGACATATTGCATTAGGCAAATCTGCTACACAAGACCTCTTTAAAGCATTCAAAAGCAAAGATAACAGTTTGAGGATTAAGGTGTGTCTGACCAAAACAATGGCATTTTCAATAGCTTCATATGCATATAAAATTTGAACAATGAGTAAGATCATAGACAAATTTATGCATTTTAGTTATGGTGTTGGAGAAGAATATTGAAAGTAACATAGACTCCCAGAAGAAGAAATAAATCTGTGTTGGAAGAAGTACAGTCAGAATGCTCCTTAGAAATCAATATAGTAAGACTTCATCGCTCATACTTCAGATATGTTATCACGAGGGATCATTCCCTGGAGAAAGACATCATGTCCAGTAAAGTGGAGGATCAGAGAAAAAGAGGAACACCCCCAACGAAATGGATTGATACAGGTACAGCAGCAGCAATTGTCCCAAGCACAATAACAATGTGAGGATGACGCAGGACTGGTAATGTTTCATTCCATTGTGTTTAGAGTCGTTATATATCTGAATTGACTTGATGGCACCTATCAGCAATCACAAGCTCTGTATTATGACTTCACTAGTTTTTCCTTAATGTTCTTTTTCTGTTCCATGGTACCACTTTACATTGGGTTTTCATGTCTCCTTAACGTCCTCTGATTTGTGACAATTTCTCAGCTTTTCCTTGTTTTGATGAATTTAACAGTTTTGAAGAGTACTAGTATTTACATATCATTATGGTAAAAAAAAAGTTTTTTTGTTTTTTTTATTGTTTAGCTGGGATTACGGACTTTTGAGAGGAGGACAACAGAAATGAAGTGTCATTTTCATTACATCATATTGTAAATTCAGGTCATTCACAGAGAAAGTTAGCCATAGCCAGCATAGTGTTTGTCAGATTTCTCCAATATAAAATTACTTTTCCACTCATCCCATATCTTTCTCTTTGGATGCAAGTCACTAAATACAGCTTACTTTCAAAGGGCAGAAAGATAAGCCTGATACCTGATACTCCCTTGGAAAGGGAATATCTGCATAAGTTACATAGAAATCTTCCCTATGGAAGATTTCTCACCAATTTATCTTTTCATTCAATTTCATTCATTCATTCCCTGTGGTCTTCTCACCAATTTATCTTTTCATTCAATTATTTATTTATGTAGTATGGAATAATGGATAATCATTTAATACTTTGGATTATAATCAATGCTACATTATTTATTTTGCTGAAATTGTCCTGACTTTGGCCATTTGGTACTTTTTCATGTTGACTCTGCTGTGGCGCTGTTGGATAAGCACTAGACCTTAAATACTTATCCTCATCAGTTACTCCTCAGAAACCCTATATAGGGGTGCTGTGAGTCAGAACCAATTTAATGGCGCTTAACAACAATAATCCTTTTGATATTTTAAAGCATTTCCTTACTTTCTGGGAATACAAGATGCTCTATCTAGGCTCATCTTGTGTGTTCCCTGCCCAATCCCTAGAACAGAAGATAATTAACAGATCAAATTAGTAGTGGAAGATACAGAGAATGAATAAAATAGTTAAATTTATAATAATTATGGTGAAATGAAATAAATAAAACTGGAAAATGAGTGTGAAATGTAGTTGGAGGGTCAAAGTCAACTGGATGGCAGTGAGTTTGGTAGATGGAGTTATATTATAAAGGTAAATCTTTAAAAACTAGGTGGAGTATATTCATGATTGTTCTTTTATTGTCTTGCATATTAAGAAAGCAATAAAATCTCATATCATACAATTCAGACCAATTTCTAGGTCCTTTACATTTTCTCTAAACTTCAAAGGGCTCCCAATTATCAAAATGATGCATTATTAGTGGGTAATGCATCAACACCAACAAAACAACTGAAAATTTTTATTAGAATTATTTAGTTATGTATGCCTCCAATTTATATTGTGAATGTAATTGTAGTGAAGTTCTATTCATCTCTATTGTCAAGATCATTGCAGGTACACAAAAACTCAAGAAATTAAACTTTTCATAGCTCATCGTTGAGTGCTTTATTCTCCAACCAAAACAAGGTACGTATATGAGTATATTCTTTGGAAATGTCTTTTATTTTCCAATTTCATTTCCTATCATTCTATCTACTCAAATTGCCTTCCCAACTAACAACCATCTGTTGAAATCTACACACCTCAGAAGACATCATTTTCATCCTAAATTTGCTCATGGTTTTTCCTGAATGCTCAATCTTACCTTTCCCTCTCTTCAATTTCATGTCACTTTTTCCTGAATTTTCTTATTCCAGTCTTCCAATGTTACCATTGTTTTAGTGTGCAGGTTGTATTTTCCCCTTTGCAAAATAAGGTTCTGAGTTGTCCACATTAGTGTTTTGTTCTGCTGTGCATAAGGCTGCTGTAAGTTGGTACCAACTTGATGGCACCTAACAACAACAACATCTATTTGCTACCTCATATACAATCAGTATACAATCTTTGGTTAAAGAACAAATGATTAAAAAAACTGGCCAATGAACTTTATTAGAATGTGTTTGAAGATCATTCTGGGAACCAAGGAACCAGAAATGAGATGTTAATCTCTTCACCTTACTTTATTGCAACAGACTGAGAAATAAATGAAGAGAAAATTATACTTGATTTATGTAGACTTTTGGCGTGGGGCTTGAGTAACTCTCCAATAGTGGATCATAATCTTGAGGCAAAGTTATTGCATATGTCATTAGCTTTGGACGAGGTGGTCTTGTAACTTTTTTATGTGCTTTCATTTCCTTGATATTGAGGCAACAATATCTCCCATTTTCACATAATAATATCTCACGCATTTCAGTAGCTTTACAGATTTTCCTGCAGTATCCTTGTACATAGTTACTCCAGCACCTTTTACGCTGTTCAGTGACTGTACACAGAAAAGAAAAATAGGTCAATGTTAATATTTGAGAGTGAAAGGCAACTTGAGCCATGAGGAAGGCAGAAGAAGATTGTAAGGGCTAGGGGCAGAATTCATAAGGCATATCCTCACAATATCCCAAGAAGGATTCTCCAGCAAGGTGATCTCCATTGTTGGTGTCTAATATGTCAATTCTCTAAAATCCATTTATGAATAATCCAGTTAGACCTAAAACTTCCCTCTAAGATACGATGGACTCCACCAAGAGCATCATATCTTGTTTGAGAAAATAAAAGTGTCCAGTCCTTGATTCCAAGCTATGGAATTATGTTCTGTCTGGGGACCTCAACAAATAAGCCTTATTTAAATGCTCCTAAGACATTACTGCCGCTCCGCGGGAGAAAGATGAGGCTTTCTACTCCCGTAAAGATTTACACCCTCGGAAACCCTGTACAGGGTCGCTATGGGTCGGAACCGACTCGATGGCACTTAACAACAACAACAACAAGACATTACTGCTGTATCCCTGATGCTCAGAGAACAATAAATTATTATAATGTATTCATGTCTGAGTCAAACTATGATTTGAGATCATACCAAAAAGTTTCATATTATCTGTTGTTGTTAAGTGCCATCAATCAATTCCAACTCATGGTGACCCTGTATAATGTTTCCAAGACTGTAAATCTTTGCAGGAACAGAAAGCCTAATCTTTCTCCTTGGTGGGCTCAAATTTGGGACTTACAGTCTAGTGCTTATCCTATAGAGCCACCACACTCCCTTTCATCTTCTCTAGTCAGGTATTTTGTTTCCTCCAATATCTTCTTCTCCTCATCCAAACAAAAAACCCCCTGACTGTTGATTCAGTTATGACTCACAGTCACCCTATCCATACAGATTAGAACTGTACTCCATAGAGTTTTCAAGGCTGTGATCTCTTGGAAACAGATTGCCAGGTCTTTTCTCTGGATGTGTTTGAACTCTCTACTTTTCCAGCTGGTAGTTCAGTATTGTACTGGTTTTGCCATCCAGGGACCTCCTCTCTTACTACTTTTCAGAATTATATACTTTTGCAAGATCATCTCCTCCTTTGGCTTCTATGTCACCATTGTAAATCTGAATACCGTTTTAATGCTTGGACTTGTTTTATCCCTCAATGACACGTCATTCTCCTGCTAGTTCCAGAGCCAAGAGTTCCTTCGATGTTTAGTTCCAGATCTTTGCTCCCCTCCAAGTATAAACTTTCCTTTATTAATGTTAAGTGCTCTCAATGATCTGAGAGTTGGAATGCTCAAATTTCTGCATCTGAGCCTGTACTCTCCCTTGGACTAAAGACCCCAGAGGATGAAGACTAAGAATATAAAGGATCTTTCTAACTCCAGGTTCTAGAACTTTTTTAATTCTTAGGAATTTAGGGATCCAGGACTCTTATTATCGTGGCAAATATGAAGTGTTTTTATTTTCTTTAATATTTGAAACTCAGGTTTATTTATATATTACAAACATATAAGATTAATATTATTTACCATTATAAAATTTGGTCACTAAAGTAGTCAAAAAGCTTATTCAGCTCTTTGTCCTATTTTTAGTTTAAAAATTTTAAATTTATTTTGCTGTTATTTAAGAGATTTGGTTTTGAAAGAGGAAAGCAATTCTCATTTTAAGTGGCTTTGTATGATAAGCACTGGACTGTGAATCATAAGGTTGGTGGTTTGAGCCCACCAGCTGCTTCATGCGAGAAAACTGAGTCTTCCTGCTCTTGCAAAGATGTACAGCCTTAAAAACCCTACAGAGTCATGGAGTTGGAACAGACTGGACAGAATTAGTAACAACAGAGTATATTAAGTCTTATGCAAAGTTCTTCACATTGCTATATCATTAAACAAAACTCCTATGAAACAGGTGTATTATTTTCACAGAGGAGGAAACTGAGGCTCAGGGAGTCTTCATCATTTTTCTAAAATTGACAAGCTAGTATACATTGAAGGCATATTTAAGGATTCTTAAATTTGATTCCAAAGTTTGTGCTTTTTCTACTGAAAGGGGAAAAAAATACGGCTGAGTCTCAGAGTCAGCCCAGAGAAAGGAGGGTATGTCTAGATACTGAGCTCATTCCTTCTCACAAAGAAGCCTTCCCAGAGGAAAGTGTGACCTCTTTCAAGGCTGTGAGTGCCTTTTTGGGATAGTCCCATGATAGAAGGTCCTGACCCTCTGCCATCAAGTTGATTTCGACTCATAGTAGTTCTCTAGGACAGAGTATTATGCTCCATTGAGTTTCTAAGACTAAATCTTTATGGTAGTAGATTGCCTCACCTTTCTTCCACAGAGTGGCTGGTGGGTTTGAGCTGCCGACTTAGTGGTTAGCTGTCAAACACTTAACCCACGGCACCACAGAGCTCCTTAGACTGCCCTAGTAAGAGGGACTTTCTAATCATGTTGGACAGTCTTCAGTCATCCTTGAGGGTCCTGTTAGTTTTTAGTGCCATCGAGCCAGGTCCAACTCATAGCAACCCTGTACAAACTTCTGTGGAGCAGCTGCTGGGTTCAAACTGCTGACCTTGTGGTTAATAGTCCAATGTTTATCCTTCAGTACCACACCAGGACTCAAAACCCAAGATGAAGATTATTGTTTGTCATTAAGTGCTGTTGAGTTGGTGCCAACACATAGTGACCCAGTATAGGTTTCCTGAGGAACAGCAAGTGGGTTTGAATCACTGAACTTGTGATTAGCAGTTCAGTGTTTATCCTACAATGCCACACCGGGAGATTTGTGTGTCCTAGAACCTCTAATATGGATTATGAAATCCCCTTTGGCCCATGAAGTTACCACCATCCTATTATTGATTTGAGTGAGCCCCTGTAAAGTTCTGAGTTACCTGTAGTTTTCTGGAACAGGAGAATTGCAGTAACCAAGAGAATCCTCATGGATGGCTTCCTAGAGGACTGGCAGCTGAAACTCTAGGTTCAGTAAACTGTGCAGTGTGCCACCTTCCTCAGAGACTTAGCATCTTATGCACTGAACCAGAACCAATGATATGATCTGATGTGTGCCCCCAAAGTTCTGCACTGTGGATTTTTTTTATCATGTGGGTAAACACAGGAAATTTGAGGGCAGCCACTTTACTCCCACATGGAATTCAGAGATACAGCATGTTCCATCTCATCACACCTGATACCGTCCTGTAGACTGTGGACTGCTGGTGGGAAGAATCTATAGTTTATCAACTTTGGCTATCTGCCCAGTTGGATCAAAATATACAACCGACTCGACGGCACTTAATAACAAAAACCCTTAAGAATGAGTAAGATGATATACCAGAGTAAGTAAAAACAATATTGCTACAAAATAATGGTGGTGGTTATGTGCCGTGGAGTTGGTTCCTATTCATAGCAACTTTGTATAGGGTTTCTGAGGTTGTAAATCTTTATGGGAGCAGAAAGCCTCATCTTTCTCCCATGGTAGTTTCTAATGGCTGACCTTGAGATTAGCAATCCAACTCATAACCACTACACTACATAGACACTTTTATTAAATAAATAAGGTATCAACATGTGAAGCTATTGGTTTTCAACATATACTTCATCTAGGATCCTTCAATAATTTGCCCAGAGAATCTTTCAATAATGATAGTCGAGGCTTGCATTTTTCCTTCAGTTCCCCCAGCTTGAGAAATGCTGAGTGTGTTCTTCCTTTTTGTTTTCTAACTCCAGATCTTTGCACATTTTGTTGTAATATTTAACTTTGTCTTCTCAAGCTGATCTTTGAAATTTTCTGTTCAGCTCTTGGACCTCCTCATTTCTTCCATTTACTTTAGCATCTCTACACTGGAGAGCAAGTTTCAGTGTCTCTTCTGACATCCATTTTGACCTTTTCATTCTTTCTTGTCTTCTTAATGACTTTTTGCTTTCTTCCTGTATGGTGTTCTTGATGTCATCCTACAACTCTTCTGGTCTTCGGGTTTAGTGTTTAATGTATCAAATCTGTTCTTCAGATGGTCTCTAATTTCTGGTGGGATATATTCAAGGTCATATTTTGACTCTTGTGGACTTGTTTTCATTTTCTTAAGCTTTACTTTGAATTTGCATATGAGCAATTGATGGTTTGTTCCACAATCTGCCCCTTGCCTTGTTTTGACTGATGATGTGGAGCTTTTCCATCGAGTCTTTCCGCAGATGTAGTCAGTTTGATTTCTATGTATTCTACTGGGTGAGGTCATGTGTATCATCGTCTCTTATGCTGTCTGAAGAAGGTATTTGAAATGAACAAATCATTGATTTTGCAGAATTCTATCATGCGATTTCCAGCATCATTTCTTATCACCAAAGACATATTTTCCAAGTACTGAGCCTTCCTCTTTGTTCTAAACCTTTACATTCCAATCACCACTAATGATCAATACATCTTGATTGCATGTTTGATCAATTTCAGATTTAAGAAGTTGGCAGAATTCTTCTATTTTATCCTCACTGGCTTTAGTGGTTGGTGTGTAAATTTGAATGATAGTGGTATTAACTGGTCTTCCCTGTAAGAGCATGGATATTATCCTATCACAGACAGCGTTGTACCTCATGACTGATCTGGATATGTTCTTTTTGACAATGAATGCAACACCATTCGTCTTCAATTTGTCATTCCCAGCATAGTAAACCATGTGTTTGTCAGATTCAAAATGGCCAATAACAGTCTATTTCAGTTCACTAATGCCTAAGATATACATTACATTTCAAGCTCACCACCCACTCCTCAGAAACCCTATGCAAGGTCACTATGGGTCTGAATCAACTTGATTACACTTAACAACAACAACAACAGCATACCCTTCTCCAAAGAATTCTGTGCTCCTTTATTTATTCCACATCAAAATGAAAGTTTTGGCATCCTCAAGGGACTCAAATCCTTTGAAATGTTTGTTCTTTATGTTTTGGGAACAAAAACAAGTCTGAAGGGGCTTGTAATCTACCAAGATTACACTTATGGAATCCCCCCAAACAGTCACCATAACCTTTTGAGTTGAGTTGACCTTTCTGTCTTGAATTTAATTGGCCCAGGAGATCCCCTCGGAATCCACTGCTTTGATTGGACCTTGCTCTCTGAAACTTATTGGTAAATCCAAGATTCATTAGTTTTGATCTTGCACCCATCCAAGCAAAAATTTGCTGAGGCCAAGATCTTTGATTAAAATTGAAAATGCTGATGAGTGAGATCCCAAGTTCTGTAGCTATTGCTCAATAGTATTTCTATGGTCTTCTATCAATTTCTGGGCTTCAGCCACAGTTTCTTCATTCATTGAGGCTGATGGTCTTTCCTCTCTTGCCTCATTTTTTGAGGTATTCCCATCCTTCCTTAAAATACTTGATCTATCTAAAGACTGATGTTTTATTTGGGTCAGATCTCCTGTAAACTTGTTGCAATGCTTTAATGATTTGGGAAGATTTCCACCAAGTTTTACTAAAAATGTGATATTAGTCTTGCTCTCAAAATAGTTTTTTTTTTTTTCTTCCCTCCTCATAGTACAAAACGTTTACTTGTTTTTGAGAGCATCCTAACAAGACCCAGAGTCCTGGTATTGTAGCATGGTCAGTGGTTATAATCCACCAGCCACTCCCCATGAGACAAATAGGCTTTCTGCTCCCATAAAGATTTACAGCCTTAGAAACCTTATAAAGGGTCACTATGAGTCAGAATGGACTTGATGGCACACAGCAACAAATGAGACTAAGCTAAATGTATTACTGCGAGAACTTGTTTACAGTTATCTGCAGATCACAGAGACATGTTTAAGCACAACTTATTTGGAATAAATTTGTTCATGCATGAACTGGAGCCCTAGTAGCAATATTTGTTGACTTACCCCTGTAAGTCAAGACATAGACCAAAATATCCAACAAGAAGAATCCCTTGATGTTAGATCGTAAGTGCCTCATACCTTTTTTTTTTT